GTAAGGGAGGAAGACCAAAAAAAACCGTAAAAGTAGAAAGACGTATTAAAAACGCGAAAATACTGCCAAAATACCGAGCGACCCTACCTCTGCTTGGAGAGTAGACGTATACGTATACTAACCAGGATGACACGTATCCTAGATATCTAACATTGGGTAAAGAAGAGCTTTTCTTACTCTCCAAGCAAAGGTTGTGGGGGAATGATCGTTACCTTTTTATACATGGCCGTTTTTTTGTCTGTGTGTGTTTTTTTTTTATCGCTACCCCCACCAACTGTCTTTTTGACACCGAAAGGGATCTGCTTGGAGATTAAGCTTTTCTGTCATGTAACTGCATGTAATTCATACCGACCAACAGACCACAGAGCATGTCTATGTATTCAAGACTTCAGGACTCTACAAAGCAAACAGTTCCACATTCTTCTGAACACTTTATTGTGTTGGAATAACAACGTCCAAAATGTAGCTATATATAGACACTGTTACTGGGGGCTCGCCGGGGGCGTCGTCCACGTTCTCGCTCTTGATTGGCTAAAATCGGCAACACACCCACAAATCTGATTGGCCGAAATGATAACGCGTGTGTACAGCTGATGGAAACAACAAATGTCAATGTTTTTGTGGTGAGTTAATTAAAGCTTGTCAAACCGGATTTGGTGCCTACATGCCGCCGTATAGATGGAATAACGTGAAAGTTACCTATACAATTGCCACTGCGGTAGTCAAGGAACTTATGCAGAATAGCAGAAATAGTGGTAACGTTACATGTAGTGTGGGAAACGTAGTCAAAAAAACAGTGTTATTGACCATACCGTACTGTTACGATTCAAGCATCCGAGACGTGACACAGCAAAACTTCTGAAGGAGGCATAAGAGGGGCCCTGCACGGCTACTTAGTTGAATAAGTTTAAGAGAGCAACGGTTTGTTGAATTGAAATGCTTGGTAAAAGTTTTTGGTTATTTTAGGCATAGTTTTGTAACTTTGGTCCCAAAATAAAGTCACGTTTGCATAGTTCTTTTTTTTTTTCTGAAAAGAGTCGTGATATGTTCCATTCCTGTCGAACCGCTCTGTGACGTCACCATCATGACGTCACCAAGACTGGTCTCGTACGTCAGTGTTTACCTTTTGGCTTTTAAATATTCTAAAACAAGTATTCTCGTCCCCAGGCACCTGAAGAATAGCCCAAATAGTAGTATTGGACAAGCCCAATGTGTAATTATATATATTATTTCATTGCTTCTAAATGTTGTTCAGAGTTTTAGATTTTTAAGTACTATTTTCAAAAGCTTCTCCGTTAGATATACATGTTTTTTTACTATTGTAGTTGCGATTTTTGAACTGGAATACCCACAGACACTTGTTGCAGGTTGCAGCTGTTACTGTCTGTTGTTATGTCGGATAAAAATAAATGCCACATGAGACACATGTGTGACCCGGATCGGTTTGTTTTGGTCCTGCAGCACAGTCCCTCACGAGGCACGGCATGTGGACGGCGTCATGACCCCTAACATACATCCACTATGATCTAGTTCATGAGTCAAGTAAAGCATACTTCAAATGTCAAGTATAAAACATTCAGAGACAGTACGTGAGCCCTAGCCCAGCTACGTGAGCCCTACCGAGCGAGGAATTTACACTAGCTGGCTCTACAGTCTACGTAAGGGTCGTCTGGTGCCATCCTCCGTACGGAGTTTGGAACAGGAGAACCAAACGGAGGATGGCACCCTAGCTGAAGACAATATCAACGTTTTCTTCCGTCGAATTCGAAGTGTAATGTTCAATTGTATATGGCTAAACGGCGGGATAGCCAACTACTCACAACGGGGACATGTCAAATTCTGCATTTTTGCAGATCATCTTTTACTTTGGGCTTTCCCCTTCGATCGTATTATCGATATTTATAAACATGTTGTAGCTTATACATAATGTCAAACATGAAACGTGTTATCTTCTGTCAAAGTTGTTGTGGAGGAGGATGACAATAAGGGTCATCTGTGACCCAGATTGTTTTGTTTTGGTTGTATCTCATGGTTCGTCACGGGACATGGAATGTAGCAGATGGCAATATTAATAGAGCTTATTCACCACACGTCATCATGACGTCACGACCCCTCATGTCCCGTGCGACGCCATTTTGGGGCTACAGCGCCTACAGCGAGTTTCCAAGCATTGAAATGGCCGACAAACGTTAGGTAAACTGTCCTTTGTCCTATTACACGAAGAGTTTACCACCACTCATACCTCTCGTTACTGGAACAAAATAAAATCTGTTGGGATTGACCCGTTTTTGTTGAGTTTTGATCAGTCTGAGATCGAGACGGCGTCTACCGCCAGCGGAGTCCATTGACGCGACTTAGCTTCGTATTTGGTACTGGGCCGAAGTTTTTACACACAACATCGGTTCAAACCCTCTAAGAGTCTGGAAGCGTTGTATCAGGATGTGTAGAGAGTGTTGTGGGACATGCAGTTGCGTGGTGACAAGTACGTTGTAGTCGGGATACGCAAAAGGTCGCTATTTTGGAACAGCCCCGGACTGTGTCTGGATAATAACAAACAAATGCGGGGCCATCGGCCGCCATCCTCAGTCCGCACTGCCGCGACTGTGGCTGGACAAGGTGAGTGTTACAAGTTGCCAGTGCCCAGTTCTACATGGACATTTACCACAGAGTAAAGGGACAGGTAGCTCCGAGTCCAACATTTTACCGTGTTCATGGCTACCCACGTTTAAATCTACATGTACATGTACAGCCCCGTACGCCGCGCCAGGATTAAACACACCGATTTCTGATCAGCAAAGAAAGACTGAAAAGCCAATCTTGACAACATGAAAAGTGGACACGGAGCCAGAACAACCCCAAGGACAATGTTACTAACAAGAAGAGTGTCCAAAACGTAGATTGTGGCCCAAAATACACAATAGTATCGCCAAGAGTTTGCATAGCATTGCATAGCGATAGCCCCAAAATGGCGGACGCCAGGGGGAGAGTCACGTGACAATCTGTGGTGAATAAGCCCTATAGAAACATTTTCTCCATTCGAACGATGTGAGAGCTCACCAGCCTAGTAATCTGTAACTACTGGAGCTGCCCAGGATGTAGTCAGTTGATCACTATCACACCAGCTCACTCTCTTTCATTTCTGAAAAAGCCTTACGATAACTTGTAAGCTTCATAAGCTCAGGTGTATTATGTTGTCATGTGTTCCACACACTGCATACAAACAAGGAGACGAAGACTTTCCCGATACAAGCGTCAGAACCTACGTAATAGACTCGTCCCGTGTTAATCACCCCCCTCCCCAACAGGTTGTGACCTTTTGGGGGGGAAGGGCGCGTGTAAAGATCAATAAGTCAACATAACAACGGAGCCTCAAGGACACATTCTACACATGGTCACTTTCCTTGTGAGAATTATATGATAAGAGAAGCTGACATATGTACTATTATAACATTACTACAGATATAAAACTTTAGATGTTCACATTCAGTATGGAATGACAGGCAAATCATAGTTTGCTAATCCGAACGTTACAATCACAATGAGTTGACAGAAAATCGAACAACCTGTTTTCTTGGTACGGAAGCGGGAATGTACGTTACGTGTTTTGAGGCTTTGTTGATTTCGCCCCGAGCGCCACTGGTATTGTTTTGATTCACATCTGTTGACATCATGAGGTGTTTAGTCCGAGTCACGGGTTCGATTCCCGGTCCCATGACTAGTAAACAGCTTGTCGCTGGCGGAGAACAGGATTATGACGTCATAAACATATAAATTATGTGGGCTGTCGGGAGGCGTTGGCCGTATAACGAACTCTGATTGGTCTATTTTCTGACACACCTTCAAAATAAGGGGCTCTGATTGGTCACACAGTCCTTACGTCAGCCACCTAGCCAGTTGCCAAATAAGGATGCATAATTGGAGGTGGTGGCCGCGGATCGTCATGTGATTGGCTGCCTGTGACACACCTACCAAATTCAGCGCTGTGATTGGTCAGGAGATAATCACACCCTCGTCACGCCAGTGCACGTAGCCCCACAGCCGACCGAAAAGCAGTTATATTTCCAGCGGGTCCAGCACCAAAAAGCAGGTATTTATGCTCTCCTCTTGCTACCTTTTCCTAATAATTTCTGCCAGACTACTACCTGAGGTACATTTCTACCACTGTGTGTAAGTAGATCGTATTTTGGTCGGTTTCTACCGGTGAATTTGTCGTTGTTTGCCCGGGCGCCGGTTGTGCGGCGCTCGCCACCGGTTGGCACCAGCGCGCCCAAGGTTGCGCCGCGGTTGCATCATCTTTTCCTATGGGCATCTTTTTTCCCCTGTATATGCCTTTCTAGCCGCTTCTTGGTGGAATATTCCACAAGAAATCATTCTAAACTGCAATATGATCATTTCCGAAATTAATTGCGTGGTTTTGTGTAATTTTTTTGCGCCTTGTTCTAGAACCTATTCGGCCCGGTGGCTGGCTACGCATAATTGCGCAGCTAAATGTTCTTTCAGAAAATTTACTTTGCACAATTCACTTCTTGTCATTCAATCGTGTACAGCGCTGTTATTTTTGAAGGGTTTTAGACCAACGGCTGTGGGAACTAAAACCAACGGCTGTGGGGAGGGGCATTGTTGTTTTCTCATATTTCTTTGGGCGTCTGTCCAAAACAACACGGCTAGCGCGAAGTGGCTTGCATGCGGCTCATGATCTCAGTATGACTGATAGTCTAGCTTCGGGGGCCCGTGGGTGTTTTTTTTTCGTGGAACTCGTGGCAACTAAACACTGGTTTCCGTCCTGTGTCCAACTAGGGCAAACCGTCAACCAGGAAACATGACTCAGTACTCGCCTGATCCCATTCTTTTGTCGTTTTCGTCACCGATAAACAATTGTTAGAAGTGTTTTTTTTTCGCGGAGTGAGTTTTGTTGGGTCATACTTTGGGCGCGGTTTAAATCGGTCGACTGGAAGTCTTTTTAGGTGTGCCCGTATGCAAATAAAAGGTGGAAATAATTAGGGGCACTGTTGGGTGGCTGGGTCGAACATCTAGGGACCTTTTTAGATGCAGCAATTGATAAGGATAAGAGGGAAAAAAGGTAGGAACTAAGGAAGAGAGAATTTACATGTGCTTTATTACTTTACAGCGATGGTTTATGACTAGTGACATCTCTATAGATGACACTGCACAGAAAGCCCAGGGCTAGTGGCGTGTTGCATCATCCTACATTTTTCTGCGGTCGCTCCTATAATTTGCCAGTTGAGTGGAGACAAAATCAAGTTTAAATTATACACACTACATCGGATCATTTGTTTGCTTTTTTCTTATTATCATACTAGTCAGACAAGCTTCAGACAGTATTCACACTGTTTTCCGTCATGTTTGTCATTTGATATGTAACATGAGACTTGTGGCGACCTCCCGAATATCGGACCTTGACGTAGTTATTTCCAGAAACGGTCTGCAGATCTCGCCCGAGCCGGTTTTTATGGTCAGGGTAGTGACGTGCGTTCGGTACGCTGGTTTGAACGAGGGTACAGCTTATAAGATCGAAGATATTTGGTGCTCGAACTTCAGTTGAACAAATTGAAGGTAAGAGTTAAGTAGAGTAATATCTTCTATCATGTAGGCAAGGAGTTTCTTTATGCGTAATCTTGCGCTGTTATTTTTTTTCATCGTTTTTCTCAGTGCAATTTTGTTTCATTTAGGCAGCCGCAGCCACCAACCTACTTACGATAATCCTACTCGCTTTTCACCGGTGTAATTTGATTTCGCCATGGAAAATGTCATCTCTACTCTAGATCGAAAGACAACGCGTAGGTGGTCCAAAGCTTATGAACGGAAAAACAGAAAATAGCTGTGCGCCATGATTTTATCTTGATTTTCAAAAGATTGCACGAAAGGCAGGCAATTAGGTGCAAATCTGTGGGTGTTACTTTTGGGAATTATCCCCGTTTTCTACAGAGTCCATCAATTTGCCACTGCATTGGCTTGTAAATCTGCAGTAATGACTGCAATTATCCCACTGATCGTGCCCAACGAGTTGAAGTGGCTCTAGCAAGTGGATAGATGAATGATAAACAAGAAACGCTGCGCACGTAGTGCATGTACAAGGCACTGCCTGTAACTAGCTTTATACTTCCAAGATGATTGCTAGTCGCTCCGAACATTATGACGGCAATATTCGTAAAACTGTACCTAAATAGACCTGTCTTACTGAATCTTATAAACTTTATAATGGACTCAAACTCGTACCTACTGGGCTAGTTCTCAATGCTACCCCAGATTTCTAGACTCTTTCTAAATGAGATTTTGTTTGAGGCTTTACTTGTGCTCAGATCGGCCTGCTGGCCACTTTTTAGTCTTTATTGGGGTCATGAGGAAAGAGGTAGACAAAATATAAACACCGCAGCAGCATTCTTTTGGTTTGAAGGCGGGGCGGGTCCGAGTGGTTTCATCATCCAAGTAGGCAGCATGATCCAGCATGTACTGCCGCGTGTGTCCTAGATATTTCTAGGTCAGTGTACTGCGGTAACCGGTGCAGTCTTTTATCTGATCCTGTTGGTTTGTGTCGGAATGCGTCTTTGGCGCGGGTCAGAGGATTGTAGCTACCGTAATAACAGTAACCGTCACTGTTTTTGAAAATGTATAAGTTGCTCTACCAAAAGACTAGGCAACTTTTCAAAAACCGTTGAAAACAAATCCTATTTGCTTTTCTGATGACAAAAAGTAGGCATTCTAGATTCTAGATACTGTTACACTGCACCCCCCAAAAATGGAAAACTTTGGTAAGAACAGTATCTAGCATTGATTTTTTTTCATTGGTAGTTGAATGTTGAAAATCCCTCAGTCCTTCAATAGGTTTGCACCTGTTGTCCAAATGGTGAGACATGACGTCATTGTTGCCATGGAGAATCGAATCAAATATCGTCTGACAGAATGAGGTCGACTGATTATGGCAGGTACATGTATTACCACATGTTATGGCGCGAAACGAAATCGTCCCATCCAACCTGTTTTAATCCAAGGAAATTTCAAGATACGAGCCCCGGTGGAGCTGTTCACTGTTCATCTGTAAATTTTCCTGACGACGCCATCGCAATTTGCGAAGTCAGTTTGATTTCTTACAATCAAGTGATGTACCTGTACATGTGTTTCTTGTATAGGCTAAGACTGAAACATCCTCTCCCGTGTATCTAAGCTGACGTATGGCGTTTTCCCACATATACCTTTGATTTGAAGGGTCGCATGTCAGAAAACGTGACAGTCTTCACAACATCTGCTTGGAGATCATCACTAGGGACACTGGAAGATTGAGTAACGCCCCCGGCGGCCAAATGGTGTACTGCAGGCACAATATCAGGGTCATTGCCCTCCCCTTCACCCCTCGCTTTCTACCATTTTTGCTGACAGCGACATAGACCTCATATCTTGTTAGTTTAATGCTGTCATGAACCCTGGGAGGTCAGCGGAAATTTCCTTTAATCAGCCACCTGTCATCAACTCTCTGTTAGCGAATCTGGGCGGGAATGTTTACTCAAACCTTTGTCTCCGATCAGGCGATCACTGGACTTTGGTCGCCACTTCCATAAACAGGCGCAATCAAATGGATTTGGGTTTACTTTAGTACAAGCGTTACATCACGTCACAGGAACAGGTTGTTGACCTTCTGAGAACTGCAATACCTACCGGTCCGATAGGCGGCGCTAGGCGGCGCTGCTATCGTCACATAGCGATTTGGCACAGTGTGTTTTAGAATATGGTACGTTTTCTAATCAATTCTACACAAATCTTGTTTCTAACCTGACACAACTCTGTTTCTGCAGGATTATGGTTCGAAGCTTTACCGTCTGTCTTCTCTGCAATATAAGTGATACCGCTAGACGGAGCAAACGCGTTCAGCCTTCAAGAACACAACAACGTTCTACCTTATAACGAAAGCTCAAACTTTCTGGTGAGTTGCGTTGGATTTTTACAGTATCTCACAACTTCGAATTCTTTTTTTACAGCTTTAGTCTGGAACATGTCTCTTTGATGTATTCTTATTGTTACTGCAGAAGTGTGAGGAAAATACTTCTTGAATTTCAGGGCAATTTGGCCAACAGATTGAAGTTGAATTTTGTATCCCCATTTCCAGTACAAAACACAGTTCGTGCAATTGCATCTCTACCTCAACTGTCGCAAAAGGTGAAAAAGCTACAGCTTCTCAACTAGTCTACTAATCGAAGCACCAGCGTCGTGTGAAACCATGGGCATCGGATTCAAGCCACTGGACCAGCCCCCTACGGTCGGGGTGCGGTTCCTGAGCGCAGGGTTTGCCGCCTGTATAGCTGACAGCATCACGTTTCCATTGGACACGGCGAAAGTTCGTCTGCAGGTAAGGAAATGGCTGTTATGACTTAAGATTAAAGTGATATCAACCTCACCGAAAACCTACCATAAGAAAAGAAAAAAAAAAACGATCAGCAGGGAACTAATTCGCTTAACTTGCTAAAGTTAATCCACTTGAAAAAAGATATGGAAAAAAATGAACATGAAATGGTGCCGAATATGCTTCAAACTTTGAAAGGACTCTTGAAAAAGTTGTTTCTTTGCTGCTAGCGCTTCATACAGCTCGGTGAGGTTGATACACGTTTATAACATGTCACGATAGAGAACAATTTGGCCTGCTAGCTATAGCCACATGATGCAAAGGTATTGGACCAGTGTTTCCGCATGCTCTGCTTGGTTGCTGCATGGTAGGTATACGCACCAAGGATGACACCAGACTGTGCACTCATCTCTCGACATTTCTAGAAAAGAAAACCCACAATAACTGGAACAGATTTGTTATTTATACCACTATATATTGTGCTTGGCAACTACAGATTTATTTTTTTTTTTTTTTTTATTTATTTGGCTTACAAAGAAGCCAGGGTGTCCCAACTAGTCAGAGACTATTGTTAAGGGACACCCTGGGGAGTAGGAAGAAACGTTATACATACATAAAATACATATTACAATCCAAATACAATAACAATAATATGTGCTTACATTTATGAAATACATATTGTTTGAGTGGTAGAGTCCAAGTATTTACAAAGTTGCCGACTCGGGGATAATATGTACAACTGTTAACTACAGATTGCTGGAGACATCCTTGGGAAAAAAAGCAGCAGCTTTTGTGTGTGTGTTTGACAGTATATTTTTCTCCCTTACTAACGACTTTGTTCGGCTTGTTTCTTTGTTCACAGGGAGGGTAGAACCAACAAGCATGGTAGAACAAGATGGCGGCGATCCACTGCATGATGGGATAGTAACCTCACGGTGGTGGTGGTAGAGACTGAGAGCATGATGGGAAGGAATGGAGGCAAGGATCGTCGCTATAGCAACCTGTCATCTAGCACGACGCCATCTAGCACGATTTTTCTTTCTATAACTTCCTCTCTGCAGGCTTTGAGAGCGTCCGTAACAATGCGCATGTGCAGGATAGGACTGGAGAGCATCCCTCTGCAGTTCTAGGCATGCGCAGTTTATGGTGGAGGGAATTTTTTCTTTCCAGCCTTTTTTGTTTTTGTTTGCCAGAGACAGAAAAAAAACATGATAATTTCAGGGCGGGCGCTGGTTAGGTTACTTTCCTTTCTTTTGGTCACTGTGACCGAAAACATTCTGGCGCCACGTTTTCAGATCCAGGGAGAGGGTAGCGCGGCGGCCGCAACCACCGCCCCTCGCCTGACCACCCTCTGTACCAGCACCATGGCGGCTCAGTTCGACATGGCCGCCGGCCCGTTCAACGCCAAACACCGGGGGCTGTCCGGTATTATCGTCTGCATCGTGAAGCAGGAGGGTCCGAAGGGGCTGTACAGCGGCCTGGTGGCCGGACTCCACAGACAGATGAGCTTCGCCTCCATCAGAATCGGACTCTACGACTCCGTCAAGAGCTTCTACCAGAAACAGATTGGCAGGGAAAAAGACGGTGAGTTCTGTTCTTCGTGTTATGTTCATTTGTGTCAACAACTATTATAATATCCTTTTCAGTTAACTAACGTGCATCTGTTCTCTTTGATTCACTTGCACAGTAGACGTTGGAGCCGACAGTTTTGTCACAGTATTGCACTTGGCGGCAAACGTCACAAGAAAAGCCACTAATATCATTCACTAGCGTCTACCAAACTCTTTTGGTAAAAAAAAAGAAATGGAAATCGGTTCCCGATGGCCAACTTGCCGGCTCAGTCCGTACAGAAGTAATTCAACCGATCTGGTTGACTTTTTTTCACCAACTAAAATAAGCTTCATCTTACACTTCTGGCAACTCTGTTGCAACCAGTGTACATGCGTATGGACTTTAACCTCCATCGCAGACTTTTTTTGGGGGGGTAGTGCTGATTCACGATTTTACACGGACTACGAGAATGAGGGAGACTCCCTCCGCTGCAAAATTACCTTTTCGTAGCCTGTGTAAAAATCGCATATCAGAAAAAATGCACGCCGCCGCCGTACAAGTCTGTGAAGGAAGCTAAAGTACTGAGTACTGACCGTTCCTCCCCTGTTCCCCAGGTGCCTCCATGCCGACCAGAATCCTGGCGGGCATCACGACGGGCGCGGTGGCGGTGTCCTGCGCACAGCCCACAGATGTGGTGAAGGTGCGCATGCAGGCGGAGGGAGCTAACCCGTTCGGCGGGAAGAAGCGGTACAGCGGGGCCCTGAGCGCCTACAGGACCATCGCTGTGGAGGAAGGCATCAAAGGCTTGTGGAAAGGTAACGGGAGAAACTTTGCAATACTTATTGTTCAATGAGCTAGAATGGATCACAATGCCCACAGGAACTTAAAAATGTCAAAAGCGCTTGACCTGTACTTGACCTTTGTTATACTGGCGATTTTAATGTTTTTGTACTCTGAGCCCATTAAAAATCAATTTGTCCGAGTTGAATGGCCCACCCAGCCATCTCAAAATTCAATAAACAAAATAAAATGGACAAAATATCTTCGTTGCCTGTTCTTGTTGATATTCAATGCCCAAATTGTTTCATCTTGCTCAGGTACGGGACCGAACATTGCTCGGAACTCCATCGTGAACGCCACGGAGCTGGTGTGTTACGACATGGTGAAGGAGGAGATCTTGAGGATGAACCTGATGACAGACAACCTGCCCTGTCACTTCACGTCTGCCTTCATCACGGGATTCGTCACCACCTGTGTCGCCTCACCTGTAGACGTCGTCAAAACAAGGTGGGCACAGATTCATCCTCAGGCAGATCGTTTGGTTCAACCTTTCGGAAGTGTTGTTTTGGGTGGCTGAACTGTACATGTGGGTTTGTGTGTGTGACATAGGTGGAAAAAATGAAAGGCAGAATGCCAGGTCAGAAGTCAGACACAGGAAATGGGGTGCATCTGAGAGTAGGTTGACAGCACATGGTTGGGGAAGATTGACAGGCAGAACAATAGGTCAGAAGGACACAGGAAGTTGTGTCAAGGAAAATTTTTTGTTTCTTGTTGGCACATTTTGTCCATGGGCCATTTTGTATGTGTTTCCAGTGGCTCTAGCTTTAAGTCCAGAACATGAAAATGCACAATGATAGAGAGACGTACAAACAACTTTGAAAACAAAGATGACTTTCTTAGACAAAGATTAAGGTGAAGCTTATAGCCGTGTTGATTTTCTTTGTCTCCAGATTTATGAATTCCAGACCAGGACAGTACACCGGAGCACTGGACTGTGCACTGAAGATGTTCTATGAGGGAGGACCGCTGGCATTCTACAAAGGGTAGGTACAAATTAGCATGGAGGTAGAAAAAAGAGATGAAATTAGCACCCTCTAGCAATGCCCTTTGCCAAGAATCTTAACATAAATACATATTGAACAGATAACCTTAACACCAGTGAACTACAATGCTGTAGAACACTTGGAACGATACCAGATATTTGGAATTATCAACAATTTTCTGAAGCCAAATATCTCTGTGACTGATCATGGTATGACAGAAATCTAAGAACCCAGGTGTCAGGACAAATTGACATTTAGGGTTGCCAACACGCTGATATCAAAATTTGGAAAATGAGTGAGCTGTGCATGTTATATGGAGCTCTGACAGTTTTGGCACCATGTTGCATACCGTTTGTTTCAAGAGGGACTGGGAAACGTGTTAGGTTGGCAGTAGTCTTCGTTTATAGAAGCATGTCCTCATGATAGTCGCAAAGGGTTTAACTCGAAATGGTAGCGGCTCGCAAAGTAGGTTGGCACCTAAAGCTGCCGACCTCCAAATGTGCCGCTTGGCAGTTATTCTTAAACTAAAGCATGTCACCAATAGTTGAAGGCAAATATAGTTGACAAGTTGCCATTTTAGTAGCTTAGAAGGAATTTACAATGGATAGTTTGCTTGATCTTTTAACCTTCTCCCTGTTCCCTGCTGAGAAAACAGCGGAAGGTTTTAAGAAAAGTTTGTCATCTTACTGGAAGACTGTAAAGGCACTATAAACCCATAGATGAACAGATCGTGGTAAATGCCTTAACTATGTTGCATTTTGTGTTCATTCCCATGAATAATTGGCTATGTTTTTTTCCAGGTTTACTCCTTCATTTATGCGTCTGGGAACGTGGAATATCCTGATGTTTGTGTTCTACGAGCAGTTGAAGCGGGGATTCACACATCTCAACAACCAGAACCGCATACGAGAGATAAAAGCACCCATGTGAACATGGCTGGATACAAAAACCAGTCTGTAACTTTAACGGCCAGTAGCCGGACAGTCTTAGGAACTGTATCTCAAAGAAAGACGAACTAAGGAACTGTGGATTTTGAAAAGAAGAATTCTTTATGGGAGTCACTTCTGAGGAGGTCTTGAATGATAGTGTCTACAAGGCAAAAGTGCCTAGGAAGGAGAGGGAATGTATTAGTGATGTCTTGAGTACTGTGCTCTGTCCTAGAGGACTATTTTTATGAATGGGATGTTGACATAGGTCATCAGAATGAAGGAAAGACAGGGTTGGGTTTATATTATGAATGGAAAGAAATATTACACTGTAAAATGTTTGAATTTTGCAGTGCCAGCTTCAGCAATTTTGCAGACAAATTTGAAAAGGGTTGTATTTTCACCAGAACAGACTGATTCGTACTACCATCTGTATTTTCGCAATACCGAACAAAACGAGCAAATTTGTCAAGCATTTTATAGCAATCGTTCATTCCAAAATTACTAGTGACACCAATGCTTCTGCTGCTGCACTGGTAGTATCCTAGATGCCGATGTTCTGTTTGTAGCTCTGTTAGAATTTTTGTTTGAAAGTTGACCTCCTTGTCTGCTTCAGAAGTTTGATTTCATCCTGAAAAGAAACATATTCAATTCTCAGGTGATTATAGAATCAGGTGTATGTAGGATTCAATTCCTGTATTTATTTTGTATAACTGTTTTGTTGACAAAATCAAGCACATTATGACATGTCAAAATCACACTGCAATGCCTTTACTTTTGTGATTGTTTTCTGCGCAGAATGTGATATAGAAGAATAATGAGTAACTTAAAGATGCAGGACATCAGTAGAAGTTTAACCTTCACCCTGCTGCAGTTACTAGTACGTTAGTTAAGTATACAGCAAGGGTAGGGTTAATTTCAGGTGAACAGTATACCATAAAGAGAAACTTTAGTTTCAATGACAGGTTACCAGTACTAATGTGGAAAGATGGTTAAAAATTAATCCTATATTGGTGCAAAGGTAGTAGTAGGATCGAAGTAATAACTTATTTTTTTAGAGAAAGTCACTCAATGTATGGAAAGCTTTGTAAAGTCTTATTAACTTCATAACCTTGTGTTTTGACATGTTTAATGTGCAGAAATGTTTCACATGTCAATTGTAAAAGTATGTGTCTCTCTATGTTGTGTATATACATGTAACTTCTAGTTGTTGATGTATTGGACTTTGAGTTAATCAAATTTTCCAAACTCTCAGTGTCTTTCCATGGATAAAATCTCATGCGCTGAGCTCCATTGCGGTATATTTAAACATTGTATGCAATAATGTATTTTCTTGCACAGTGCATCACCTTTTTTTGTGCGCAAGCTGCAATTTTTTCTTTGTCAATGTGCAGCACAGGCACTGCCTTGTTTTCTTATTTATAAGTCACTATGTGACAAGAAGGGCAATGTTTCCCTGTAATAAGAGGAAACTGAGATTGTACAGACTTGTAAATAATCATATAGAATATGTGTATAAAGGATACAGAGGGGTAGATGGTCATGATAGAAAATAAATCAAAATCATTGTCAACAAAGAATGTTTGTGCTGCTTTTCTTGGTGTTTGGTGTCCTGGTTAACAAGTATACTAGGATGGCACCCAGGCTAGATGTCACCTCAACAGGGGTGCCAGAGTATACAGTGCAATTTTACAGAATACAGTGCAATTTTATGGAATACAGTACAGTCGTATTTAGTATACTGTACAATTTTACGGAATAAAGAGCAATCGTATTAGTATACAGTGCAATTTTACAGAATACACAGAATACGGTGGAATCATATTAGTATATATTACTAGCAAATTGTACTGTATACTAGTAAAATTGCACTGAAAACTAATACCATTGCACAGTATTCCTTAAAATTGCACTGTTTCCTAGTAAAATTGCACTGTATTCCGTAAAATTGCACTGTATCCTCTGGCACCCCTGCTCAACATTGTAGCAAATCTTTGCCTCTATGCAATGCATATGCAAGTCAACAAGCTCAAAGTACACCTTCCTTCAATCATGCATGTAAACCATGTAATCGAGTTCAGTGACCCGTGTTCTTTTGCCCTTGCCCTGATAATCATGGGTTCAATGTCCAATGAGGCAACAGTATGACCTTGCAGATGTTTCAGTAATGACAGTGAAGGTCATCCATGCATATTTGTAAGCAAACATTTAATGGAGCCCCCCCCAACCCAACCCACAAGGGAGATATATACCTGACCTTCAACTACAGAAGCCATATGCTTGTGAACGAACGTTAAATGTCAGGAATAAAGCCTGTGGTGATGAGTCATAACATTTAGTAGTTAAAAAAGGTCATCGTGCTGTAGTGCATGCATGGCACACCCTTCCATGGTGCCCCCCTCCCCATGAACGTCATCTTTGACCTTCAAAAAGTGTCACTGACCCCCAGTACGTGTCAGCTGAAAGAGTAATCTCTTACTTGGCTGTCAAACAGTAATTAGAGGTTGATAAAGCACCGTGACTCTCCTCCCCTACTCCATTTTCTGTCAAACAACTGAACGATTTTGCTATTTTGCTGCAGAAAGGAAAATACAATGTAGCAGTGTTGTGCTTATACACATGTACAGGAGCTCTGGTCTAAATGCTGCATTCATAAGAGATATGTTGTAGCTCATAACTGCAAAGTAAACATAACAATTTACTGTTATTGACATGCGACATAATAACTTATTGTTTTGGACAATTTTGAATGTTTTTGAGATTCTTAAACTATACTTCATTAGTGACACTGACAGGATGTTCTAGTGAGATGAGATTAAACTATGTTCCCCATAATCCCTGCTCACTTAACTAGTTCAGCACCGCAATTTCTACAATGCCTAAAATTCTTTGGAGGTTAAAGATATCAAGTGTCTGGCAGCACAGAAATATAAAGTAGTAAACAAGTCCAGTACTGCTTCATCTTTCAGTTTATGTAGTCATCTACATGTATACTACGTAACATCTGTGTCCATAATATCACCAGGGTCCATAATATCGCCACCTTGAGAAACAGTGTGCTTAAAGATATTTTTACTGCAACATACTTTTGGTATGCACTCCTGCACACCTCAAATGTACATACCTAGGGTATGTTGCAGTAGAAATATCTTTAAGCACACTGTTTCTCAAGGTGGCGATATTATGGACCCTGGTGATATTATGGACACAGATGTTAGATGGATACATTAACCCTCTCCCTGCTTCTTAGCCTTGTAACCAATTGTATTGTAAAGAATTGGCTACTTCAGTACACTTTAGGTTAAGAGAAAAGCCTTTGTATCAACCTGAGATAGGGTTGTGACAAAGTCTTTCAATATCTTATCATGATTTTTACCTGGCTTGGTAAGTAAAGACTTGTGTGTTATGCCTTGAGGCATTTTGTTCATATATGGAGCAAACAAAATGCTGAGATTTTTCATTTTTTCCTACATGTTCATTACATGCTAACTGACTATGCACGATTCAGTGTTAACTTGAAGTAAAGTGGGGGTTATGGCATACAGTGGGACAGGAGTCCATATCTTCTACAATTTAAAAACAGCACAATTCTAGTGGAGTGCAAGAGAGAAAGACTTTATTTCCATCAAAAATAATCTTCAACAATATCGCTCATTTTACCATCTCTTATGCATGATACCATTATCTGAATCATATCAATTATTATACTCTTTCTGGGGCTGGGCAACACATATTGGTATTAAAATGACCCAATTGATTACAGTACATACCGGTATGATTTTAACCATTGTGAAATGGGAAATACATATATGTGTTACCCAGTACAGGAAGACATCACAATTCTTACACATATTTCATATCTAGATCTCTGTTATAATACTTTTTGGATCTAAGACAATAGTGGCACATTAAGTAAGTTCTTTAGAATAGCGATAACTACATGTCTATTTCTTATGCCTGCATCCCTCCACCTTTTTGTACTGTCTTATTTTCCCAAAGTTATTTTTTTTACCATTCCTAGCATCTCCCAAGGTTGTATAATATTGTTTGTTGGTTTATCCAAGGACATTATACACTATGTATAATGTCCTTGGTTTATCTTAGTGAAAAACTTACCGTACTATGTTTACTGTATAAAAGGTACTGGTACTAGGCAGAATTGCTGGACTACAATGTTCAGAATGAAGGTAGCAAAACTACTTTTAGAGGGTTTTCCTCTCTTCCTTTCTAAGTAGTGGTTTTCTTTGACGATATGATGTTTTTCTGTCTTGGTGTGCTGTTAACAAGAAAATGATGCAAATTAATGCACAAACATGATAATATTTCAGCTTTACCAATAACTGGCCATTGAAAAAATGCTGTTGTTTAAGGACCAGAACTTTACTGAACATTCAGCAAGAAATTCATGTACATGTGCAGGGCTTCAATGTTGTGAATGAATAAATGAATGAAAGTTTATCATTGTGTTTTGTGACTACAAGCCGCCCAGCCCAAATAGGCTTTTTAGACACCAACAAAAGAAGAAAACATCATAATACAAATGGTACAGAGTCAAATTAAAATAAATCAAAAGGTAACATAGGAGGTAGATATAAGTGCTAGATATAAGGTAGATATGAGGTAATAGTGCACACACTATTATAACACCAAAAATTGAACAAACAGCATCAATGTTACATCTACTGTACACAATGAGATTTTTTTATCAGTTTATCCAGTTTTTCTTTCAGTTCCTTCAAAACCTTGTATAAACAAAGTTAGAAAAAAAAAGTAAACCTAACTCCTACCCACCTCTACTTCTCAGCCCCATTCGCAGCCGCCAGCAGTTTCTGTTTCAGTTTGTTCTCCAGCTTGATGGCGTCCGCCGCGAACTTGCGAATCCCGTCTGAGAGCTTCTCCACGGCCATCTGGTCCTCGTTGTGCAGCCAGCGGAACGTCTTCTCATCCAGCGTGATCTTCTCAAGCTCTTCTGCCTGGGCTGCAGGGGGCAGAGTGTGGTACAAATGTCTTAGCAACTTGTTATGTTTACCGAAGGAAAACATATTGTTTTTCCTCAGTTTCTTCCTCTTCTTCTTCTCCAAACAGTGACCTCTGACCTGGCCAATGACCTAATTTGTTTACATCTGTCACCATGGTAACTGGTGTTGGGTTGCACAATGTTGCAATTTCATAGACTTTAGGATTTAGACTCCCGTCACCATATATGTGAATTTGTTTGAGTTAAGAATTAACAGAGCAGACCAAATGCGAAGGTACACATTACACATTTGCTTTGGAAATGTTACTTTTCTAGTAGTAATTTGTCTCAAGTCTAAAGCCCTGTCACACATAGTTGAATATCAAACTGAGAATCAAGCTGCAAGATTCTACATGAATGCCTATGAAAGAGGTGCTAGTGTCACGGAAATAAAAAGAAACCTATAGTGGGTGTCACTGGAAGACAGACGAAAAATATCCAGACTATACATGATGTACAAAATGACTGATAAACTGGTGGACGTACCAACTACTAAGTACCTAATATCAGCCCAGAAAAGAAAGTCATGCCTTGAAGTACCAGAGTTATCAACCAAGGATTGAGGTGTTCAAAAACTCATTCTTTCCTAGAACTACCGGTATCACAGAGTGGAACTTGCTGTTACCAAGTACATTAGGGGCATCATCATTAGATGAAAACTGAGTATTTGGAAGTGATTATGGGCTACTATGGCCATAGTTATTCCTGGACCTTGTCAGGGACATAATTTGTTGCAGTACCTTGATCCACAGACAGGTGGCGCTTGAGCACCTCATCCGATTTCTGCAGCTCTCCCAGGAGTTTGGGGCTGGAATGACAGAGAGTACATGTCATCAAATTTCTTCTATCAAGGAGATCCTTTGTGTTTACTCACAAAGGATCAAAGAAGCAAAGTGTAGTGAGAAAATGAAGGTAGAAATACCATTTGGTTATATAGCTTGAAAGTTCATCTGTGTTGGTACAAGTCATTCTGAAACAGGTTTGAACTGAAACTGCAAAGACTTGGACTTACCCAAGTTTTTGACTGTACAACTCAGGAAAACTAAATGCAAAATGTGACGTCACAAAAACTCATTCATTGACAAAGACTGGAGGTCTACAGTCAAAAATTTGGGCTAGTCTAATTCTTTGTGTTGGAAATCACAGTTCAACCCTGTTTCAGCATGTAGTTTATATGTAAGTGTACAGACCTGATAGTGAGGAAGTCACACCCAGCCAGAGCCTTGATCTCCCCAGTGTTTCTGAAGGAAGCTCCCATCACGATCGTCTTGTACCCAAACTTCTTGTAGTAGTTGTAGATCTTAGTGACACTGATCACACCTGGGAAATAGAAACGGAAATCAATCTAGATTCAACTTAACCTTCAACCACCTATGGTAGCCCCATTGCACAAAATGTGTATTGGCTATGGCGTTTGGCAGCAGAGAGAAGGTTAAGCAACTGGACAGAAGTAGTGGTAGCTACACAGTCATATTCTGCTACTGGTCATGACAAGAAGACCTAATGCTACAATGTATATGGCAGAAACAATCCATTTACTTGACATTATGATGATTTTTCTTCTTGGCATACTTGTATTCAGGTGCTAACAGGTGCAAATCAGTAAATACCAGTAGCTGACTTCAAATGAAGAACCATGAAAGTTATCTGGGTCTGCCAGGGTTTGGGTAGTTTGCTAGCTCTCAGTATCATTGCCAAATTTATTTCTTTTTGATTGTAGATTAAAGAAGGGTCAGTTACCTGGGTCATCATGTGGCTCGTAGGAAGTTTTCCCCGTGCTGGCCTTGTACCAGTCCAGGATCCGCCCGACAAACGGTGAGATCAGCGTCACGCCTGCCTCCGCACACGCCACGGCCTGGGGAACAACACCATACAGCGTTAGCTTACAAGTATAGCGCTATATCAAGGAGTTCAACCTCGTTGGTTATATTACAATAATGGGTGCTTCCGCTGTGGATATTGTCTTTAGTTGGTTGGCTGGCATTTGAATCTTTCATATGATACCAGGGCCATTTCACACTTCAACTACTCGTTGTATATCATTGCAAGAGTTACAAATTGGCAAGATGTGGAAACATTGGATCCTACACGAAAAGGTTGCAGTGCAGCAGAGCCCCCTAACAGTACAAAGGAGAACAGCAGGGCCATGATACAGTGGATTCTACATTTGGCCTACAGAAAAATATTAGACTACATTTGAGGCTCTACTGCACATGGCAAGTACTGGTCCCTGACAGTAGAGCATTCTACCTAGGCAAAAGTCACGTTGCAGTACAGCAGAGCCCCCTAACGATACAAAGGAGAACAGCAGGGTCGTGAATGATACTATGGCTCCTATATTTGGCCCCCAGAAAAATATTAGACTACATTTGTGGAACCCTGAACCATTTGCCAGAGCAGCACCCTACACATGCAAATGTCATGTTGCAGTACAGCAGAGCCCCCTACCTGTGCAAAGGAGAACAGCAGGGTCATGTTGCAGTGGATGCCGTGTTCTGCCTCCAGTTGTTCCCCAGCCTTGATGCCCTCCCAGGTGGAGCTGAGCTTGATCAGGATCCTCTCCTTACTGATGCCGGCCTGCTCGTACAGTTTGATAAACTTCCGTGCCTTCGCGATGGAACCCTCCACATCGTACGACAACCTGGGGATATGTTAGAATACAAAAACAATTGTTTATGAAGCAACACATTGTTAGCCTGGTTACCAAACCTATTATAGCTCCAGAGTCCTACATCCTCTCCACAAATAGAGGATGTAGGATTCGGGAGCTATAATAGGTTTGGTAACCAGGCTAACACATTGTGCGCAAGATGAGGAGAAAACTGACTTAGTTTATGGCCTATCTTTCAATTTTCTGTAAACATAGATTTCCCACTAGCTATGGATACACAAAGCTTGTATTCAAGGAACTCTATTCAAGGAACAGCATTAATATGGCCACCTTCAGTCAGTATTGACCATGGCAAAACCCTAAAGAACATGAATAAGCTCTGAATTTGATGAAGATTGCCTCTTAACCTTCTCTCTGCTGCCTAACACAGACTGTAACAAATGGAGAATTAGTACTTGGTATCCACAAGACTATTATATATAGTTAATATACACTTGTACCTCTTACATACAGTACAAAAGTTCATTTTGATATATGGTAAGAAAAGAGAATGTTAAACTCTGACCTGGCGTCCACCTCAGTAGAGACCCTGCCAGGAATGATCTTGAGAATCTCCACACCAAAGTTCACAAACAGCTTGTCCATGGTCTCTGTTAGCTGTTCATCGATCGTCCTGAAACATACAAACGCATGTCAGTTATTATCACAGTCGAATATTTGTGTAAGTGTCCAATCCCTCGTGTTGAAAACCACAGTTTAAAACTGCTTCATAATACATGTCAGCTATGCTGTACTTCTGGAACTTTGTCCCTTACATGTACATATAGATCATACATCTCCAAGCTCCAAGAACTGAAGTGGCAAATGATAATTCTCTTGAAGTATAGAATAAACCGGTAGTACAGATTCAGGTGCATGTACATTAACAGGTTGAAACTTTTGCTGACAATTTGAACATGAAACTGCCCAAGCATCCACCTCTTGAGGCCAGTCACCTGGCCATAACATTCAACTTTTCCTGGCCCCTAAATTTTTCACTTAGGCACAAGCTTGAAGAGACCTGGCCAAAAAGACCACCTGTTCAAGACACCCACTTTACATTAGTTCCCTGGCCTGTAGTTATTTGAATGACACTTGACTTTGTACTGTGTGTGATATATGTTTGTTGTTTGTTTGTTTGTTGTTTACTTGAGGATACTTACTTGCCGTTCTTGAGTCCGTACTGAATGGCGTCGTCCACGATACTCTGGTACTGCGGCATGTCCGCGGCGGCCAGCAGCAGGCTGGGGTTGGTCGTGGCATCCTGCGGCTTGTACTGACCAATGGCTGAAGGGGGAAGATCACGGTCATATTCTTAATACTTGTCCAATTACATTTTTCGTTAAGACATTGTTAACAGGGCAATCAGAGATGGCAGACTTCACCCCCTCAGAAGCCTAAGAAGTAAGTATGCAAAAAAAATGCACTCCAGAAATACATACACACAGATACATACATGTACACACAGCAAACGTACAGAAAAACTGAAAAACATTGTGTTAAAATAGTTGACATTGTGTTAAAAACATCAGTCTCATGTATATGACAGCTTCAAACATTAACCCTCTCACTGCTAAGGTAGCCTTTTGGCACCAAATTTGTATTGGTTTCAGCATTAAGCCTCAGGGTGAAGGTTAATCCTCTGCGTGTCAAAGAACCCAGCACACTTATCAAGACGATAACCCAGTGTGCTTGGACAGATTCTTGGGGACATAACTATAGGCATTTCGTCCATCACTCCGTATGGTATAAAGTATGATGTTACATAATGTATTGATACACATTTGTACACTGGAAGATAGCCAGCCCGGAGGATAGGGTTGCATACAAACCAGCTTTACCATTTAATATTAGATCAACAACATACGATTATCATAAGGTCACCTCTACAGCTCTCCCATAATATCAACTCTGTACTACAGATTCAATCATGAAATGAAATCAGGTACATCTAATGCATGTGGATGTCCTGACAAATTACATGGTAATACTGCCATGATGTGATCGCCCATCTCCTGCCACTAATTAAGCTGATTACACATGCAGGACTGATTACATTCTGCTCGTTATAGGGAATGAGTGGGTGTGATGTTAAGGGTTGTTGTCAGGGCTCAAAATAGTTTTTCTCATTTTGCCGGTAAAAGTGAGTTTTCTGAGTAATACTACAGTATTTCAGAAATGCCCCAAGTTCAATACAGATGTAAGCATCTAACACATATTCTTGGGGGACCGCAAGCCCTTTTCCGTAGAGCGTAATCGGCCATTTTAATTCTACGTAGAGCGCCGTAGACGGACCGCTCTAATATTTTTGCGTAGAGCGTATTCGTCGTTTGAATTCTACGTAATGCGTTGTAGCCACTTGAAATTTATCGCAAAGCGTAATCGAGAGGTTTCTGAATTCAGTGTAGAGCGTTGTCAGGACCCCCCCTTGCAGGCCCTCATTCTTTACCGGTAGGTTTAATTAGATTAGACCTACTATGATTTGCATAAAATTACAACCTGTTACGCCTTATGTCAAAAGGAAGACATGCAAACCTCCCTGGATGTGTTAGAATAACCTAGATAATGACAAGCTAAAATTCAGTGATCTCTTGACTACATTTTCCTTCCAGACAATTATTTAAGGGAGGGCCATGAAAATTCAAGTCTTGGATCATTAAAAGTAAAATCTTCAGGTAAATTATGCCTATCTGCGGCAGTGGGGCTCCTTGGTCAAAGGTCACCCGTCCATATATTTGTGTAACCTATAAAATGTTCACCATGTAAGATATGAATGAAGTAACGTTATTCCTTCACAGCCGGAAAGCCACGTACTGAATCGAACGCTTTTCGAACGAGTTTTCTTTGCAGAGCGTATCACTCCGCCGTCCATAGCAACGCCGTTGCTAAGGACGACGTTTTCGCGGGCGGCGGGCTGAAATTTCATCCGAGTTGTTGACAGCCGATTACATCACCAGTTTCGGCCTCTGCGTCAAGATGGCGGTACGTATCAGACGTGTATATCATGGGCTCTCCGTAGTATTCATATTTGAGGGGTATTCTATCAGTTTTAGTGTAGTTTTGTGATTAAACTTGGTGCACAGTGAAATGAACAAAATGGCCGCCCTGGACTGATCTGAATTTTCGTCTTATTTGAATTTGGGGGGAAACCCGTTTCGCCCTCGATTTTGCATATGACGATATGTGGATAAAATGTCTTGAACCTTTGGCTATCTCCCATTATGAATATCCTGTTGGTGCGAAGTCTGGATAGGTTTGCAATTTAATGCCAACTAGGGTCCCTTTTTTGGCTAATTTTATGGCTAAAACTCATAGTTTGTCGTTTGATTTCATTTCGGACATTGTTGAATAATTTGCGTATATGTGCTTCATTTCTTGTAAACATCATGTTCGTGGTAAAATCATTTCCGATGAACTAATCTAGTCTAAGTTTAGACCCAGACTCTTAGTCGTTAGATCTTTACAAGGACAGATTCAATTGTAAATTTTGAAGTTAACGTTGTAGTTGAGTCTGATGGATCACGAACTTCGTAAAAGAAATCATCCCTTCTGTGTGTGTTTGTGCAAAAAATTCCCGCCAACTTTATCACGTGATGTCTGGTTGTCATACAAGAACAACAAAGTTGCATGACTGCTGCAAATTGTTACAATGACTTGTCATAGTGTCTAAAGTTACAGCAACACAAGCATGCATGTACTACCATATCTAGTGATTGATGATAAAAACAGTGCACAATGTACATGTTTAGGCAGCTTGTGACATTTGTAGAAATTATAATAAATGGTTGAGCATGTATATCATTGATTATTGAAATAAAACTAACGTTCATTTCAGTATTGAATTGGGAAAAATGTGTGAAGGGGATTCTTTTATTTCTGTTTCAGATTATCATAGGCTTCACAGTCTAGATTGGTAAGTATCTGGAAAACCAAGGAGGTTTAAAATGTTTAAACCGCCTTGGGCAAACCATGTCACCCTCTCTCCTGGCATTTTTAGAAAATTATTACTAAAATTTAAAGAAGGACAAGGACAAAGTGGGACTGTGCTCAAGTTACAGTCACATTAACAGCCCCACATGACACTTTTAAGCACAACCAATACAAATATATAACTAAGAATAAAAGTGAAAACAAAAGTGTGCACTAACGTTATATGTTAAGAAAATTTCAGGAAGACCCTAGCCCCCAAAATTTGCCTCAAGTAGCATTGCACCAGGTTTCTTGTAAGGTTGGAGAACTGTTTTTGAAAGTAAACCAATACTTCTTGTGGATGATCTTTATGTAGAAATGTTAAGTTCAAGAAAGGATTTGAATGTAAAAGTCAAAGTAATGTACTGATTATGACACATTCTACTGTGGTTGGACTCTTAAATGATTTAGTAAACTTTATTTTGGTTCACAAAAGTTCTAACACCAAACATAGTTTAATGTTATACTATAGATATTGTGATATTATAGAATCACTTCATTGGCAAGAGGTAACTCTAAAAAATATGATCAAGAGAATGAAGAGATGAAGTCTATTCAGTCTTGTTTTGCTTCTATGCTAAAGATTTAAAGGATAGTATTAATTCTGGCCCCTGGTCTTTCTTTTTTATATATGAATACTGTGATTCATTAAGAATCCTCCAAATTTATTGATAAATTCCAACCTTCTTGCATGAAATTGTTAACCTGCATAAAACTGCAACCTCCCTGCATAAACCTGTTTCACATTTCTAAAGAAACAAATCCTGTTTGGAATTTTATTGTTGTGTTAACTATGCAAAAGTCTGAAATTTCTTTTTCTGATTTTGAATCTTTGGACATTACTTTGCCTTTCTTAAGGATGAGACAAGCCATAGTAGCTCTAAGTTTCTGAGGTGACTTTTCACTACTTCCCTTATTTTCTTTATTGTCTCTGAACTCCACTGTAGTTATCCTTTTCATATGACAAAATCTGAGTTGATTTATTCCTATAGCCAATCTCCTGATTTAATGTTACTGGAAAGTCTCTGTGGGTGGAATGGAACTTCTATACAAGCTAGCTGTACAGTCCAAATCTAAATTACTTATTTCTTCTATGCCAACTTCAACATTTGATTCTGAATGTTCTAATTTACTCCATATTGATCAAAATCAGGAAATGCATGATGATTCTGATTCAGAAAAGACTTTTTTGATAGTGAGGATCAGGATGTTAATTTTATAGATGACATTTACATAGGCAGCTTGTCTGCATTGGATAACATTTCAGATTCAGAATTTTCTGATGTTGATTAATGAGTGAATTGGGTTTGGTGTCGTATCTTATTTACATTTTTTAAATTCTTCCACCTTGCAGGTAAAAGCCACACCCAGTGGGATTGTCACCAGCAGGACACCAGGATGTTATATTGTTTATTTAGCTTGAGATTATGGATATATATATAAGATGTATTATGTATTGAGATCTTAATTTCCATCTATTCTGTTTATTGTAATCTTAATACAATTTGGGATCATATTTAATAGTCGATTCAGCATTCAATGTCTACTGTAACTTTTGAGCATGTGTTAAGTAATATATGTACTGTAAAAGATGTACTATGTATACATGTAATGATCCCAAGCTATTTGATATCCCAGTCCACAACAAAATGTACATCATCATCATCATCATCATCATCAAAATGTACTACTTTGTTTTTTGTTTGGTAATGAGATAAAGGTTGAAGCAACGTTAATGGCTCTTGGGTAATTTTGTGTATAATTGTTAGGATGTATGTGAGAGAGTTATGTTTAGGGATTTGATAACACCCAGCACTTTTAGAAATATGCAAATGCTTTTGTGTAAAACTAGGGACATGAGGACCTGTTATCTTATTATAGTAAGCAGTACACATGGACTATACCTGTCGATTGGATAACAGATCCAGGATAAACTTACCCATAATCAGAGCATGCAATGTACATGTTGCACTGTCCTGACTAGGTACCAGAAGCGTTGGGTTGTGTCCATAGGCTACTTTTTAACTAAGCCAGCAGGTCGATAAATGTAACTTTTCTTAAATAACTATTTAAACCCAGCGCCATTCAAATCGAGAAAAACGGATACAATAATTATTCTTTGAATTCTCCCCAATCATGAATCAATGTTTGAGGTATTCTAGTTCTAATGGTCCGCTTGCTCTAATTAGATGTGCGTTTTTCAAAGGTCAGGAAGCTACGAGAGTATAATGTTTCCTCACGTTTAGGCAGACGCTGGTTTCAAGTTTTCAGACAGGCCGTATCTATCAAGGGACCACAAACAAATATTCTGCGTGCAAAATAAAAGAACCTGTTTAGATATAAGATGAATTAACACCCAGTGTAGTCTAACTAAAAGTTGTTTAGACGTAGGTCGACAATAATTTAGATTTACTAGCGATGTATGGTGCAAGGGGCCAGTTCTGGCCTAGGCATTTAGGCAGGTAGGCAGGCAGGTATGGTCATGTATAGGGCATGTAGGAGAGGAGCGCGCTCCGTAGAACACACGTACCTCGCCGGCCGCGGCGCCAGGGATGCGCGTTCTATTTGGGGACAAATTCTGCTTTTCACTAAAATTGCCTGCCTGCTCCCGTGACATGGCCTCACCGAATTTGGGGGGAAACCCGTTTCGCCCTCGAAATCGTCTATAAGTCAAATACCATCAGAAAGATTAAGGTTTGCTCTTTTTCACCCAACAAATTTCCTGTTGGTGCGAAATCTCCATCAAGGTGAAAATACACGGGGAAATTGCACTAAAATTGCCTAATTTTAGGTCATGATATCAAAAGGAGAAAGGTACATTCTCGGCTCAAAAATTCATGGGGAGCAAATAAAGAAGTCTAAATATTATGAATAAGTTACAATAAGGAAGTTATTTGATTGTATAATCTAGCGGTAAGCTTTCTTGTGAGGCGAGTCGACGCCCGGAGCCGTGGAACGGACTACTTTCTCTCGCGGAAGGAAAAGAGAAACGCATAGAACTCTCGACGTGGCTTTCCGGCTGTTCATACATGTGTTCAACATGCCACTGCAAAAATTATCCAGCCAAGTTAGTAACTTGAAAGAAAGACACAAAAATTAGAATATTTTCTGCAAGTCATTGTTGTTATAACTTAGTATAATATATAAGTCGAACTTTTGGGCTATTTTTGAGATTATAAAATTAATGCATGTTCCCTACATGTTTCTGGTTGCATACATGTCGTCATTTGGGAGATCAAAAATAAAAACGAAGAAGAAGAGCTCATCTTCTATCAAAACGTTAAAAAATACATTTTGTGACAATAAAAATTTCTGACCAAAACGACACATGTAAAGTTGCAACTCATTTCCGCCCCTCCCACTCTCATACATGCGGCCACTACTTCCTCGTATGTCACACCAACTTTTACCCGAATTCTGACGATTCTGTACCAAATACGACAAAGTTAAAATCATATCCCAACCCGGAAATTCCCGCCGAAAATCAAGAGATAACTTGATAATGGAACACCCACCGTCGAAATCCCCAGTGTCGGCCACAACCGTGGTGAACTCCTTCAGATGGTCCAGCGTGGTCGCCATTTTCTGTTTTTTGGGAGAGCTGTGAGACATGGTGATGAATATTAATCCGGCACGTGAGGGTTCTGTTGACCTAAACGGGAGAAATCCGATGGGAAATATCGGAGATCGATATGAGCTATCTGTAATAATCTTGCACGCGTTGGGAATATATAGCAGACAGGAAATGGCACCGCATCAAAACGTGATAAACATCTATACTGTGTAACATAAATTCAATATACCACCTAAAATATATTAGTCTAGTATATGGTACAGAAATGTAGTACCATACACGTTGATAGAGATTCTAAATTTGAACCTAATGTGGTAAGAAATAGCAGAATATATTTTACGTTTGCATGTTTTCACCAGTTCGTCCTCCTGATTGGAAAAGCGGAAGTGAAAACTTTCCTAGAAATCGCCAGCGACATCTAGCGGTTCACTAGTGAAGCTCAGCTGCTCTTCGACGAACTGTCCTTTTGTTTACTGCGAACATAAAAAACGTTTTTTTCTTACCGAAATATCGAAAATATATGCCTGTAGAGATGCTACTCGAGCAAACAAACCTTGGAAGGACGATGTCTGACAGGAACTTCTAGGGAGCCATGACACGTAACGCGTTACAGTTCGAGTGAAGGAAGAACTTTTACAGTCGGTATAACGAGCTGGTATAACGTAAGTAAGCAAACAGGGAACTAGACTATTCAAAACACTTTCAAGTTGTAATTTGTCATTGCAAGTATCCTTTCCCTGGTGTAAGTGTAGCATTTGTACACCGTAAATTGACCTCGTTGTAAGTGTTATTTATCGCCTGAACATAAAACATGACAGGTGGGGAGGGGGGGGGGCTGAATACCCCTGTGGGGCTGAATACCCCTGAACACACCACCCCCTGACTACATTCGCCTGCTTTTTTTTAAAGGAATGTGTAAAATAATGTTGCGTATTTTTAATGGCCAGGCACTTGCGCAACATCTTGGTCGTTGGCTTTTGTGCATTTTAACGTTATACTTCACTCCAGACCATAGGTATGGATGGAATATATTGCGTCTTTCGTTTTGTACAATCTTTGTGTTGGTGCACTACAAGAAGTAACGTCTACTTCTAGTCAGGTGCTCCATTGAAATATGAAAATTCGTATATATTCTGAATAAAGTTTTTCTTTGTGTTTAATCAAGAGACCAGGAACTGTACAATAATCTTCAAACCGTTATCGGTCTCCTCCTTCTACCCGTTGGCTTCTCTCCATCCTTTCTCCAGACTATTCTCTCCCTGTCCCCCATCTCTCTCTCTCCCCCGCCTCTCCCTCTCTCGCAATCTCTCTCTTCATCTTTTTCCCGACCCCCATCGGTCCAGAGACGACCTCCCAGTCGGACAGTTTTGTCCAGATATAGACATCACTTTCCCAAGCTGCAATTACGGCCTCTAAATCTGTCGCCAGACATAAGTCGGGCGGACAAAACACGACTATTAAGAGAAAAGTGGCCCTGGGGGATAAGAGCCTGTTACTGGAGAACGGGGAACACTGTCGCCTGCTCGCTGTTGGACACTGTTTAGAGGCTTTAGAAACTCCAAGCAGACGCACGTTGAAGCTTTTTGTACATTACTTTCAAGCAAAGTTTATTCATCTTGTAAATTCAGAGATGAACAGAGCATTATCGCTTGACATGAGCAGTATTTCAAACGCTGCAAAAAAGACGTACAAAAGTTAAGTAGAAACTACTTGAAGATTATATATTGCCATGTCGCGCTGGGGTGTAACACTATTTTGTGAGCGCGGTTAAAGAGGTGAAAGAAAATATCCCCGGGGTTTTTGAAACCTTTTCTACTGAGGTGAAGTGTCGTGCTGAGATTACTGTACACCACACGCCCAAGGGGGGTACATTTCGCGCGCCATTGGAGCCAGGAGTGACATCTGTTTCTGCAGACGACAGGGGTCGTTTTTCGCGCCTTTGACGAGGCAAAACATTGAAAGAACATAAAGAAACTCTATAATACCCGTGGATTTTAACTCACGCAGACCTCATATAAACACAAAGGTATTTGCTCGAAAGATTCCCTCCGACTTCATACATAATGAAACATGGTAACTCAATTGTGGTGAAGTCTGCCCTCCGGGGTAATAGTTGAATGAAAAGGCATGCAAATCGCTCGGATCAGACGACAGGCAAGACTTGTGGGGGCGCGGAAAAAGTTTATCACGTTATATCTCGCTTTTCTGTGTCACGATTTCTAAATTTTCTGTCAGAATTTTGTGATTAAGACTTTGTAAATATAATAGTCATTTCATTTTGCCCCAAACAGCCGAAGTTTGGGTGTAAGTGAGGCAAAGTTGAGTTTGAATGACTTGCGTCACCCCTGTAGAACACTTCCGCCATCTTGTATTTGCGTCAGGTGATCCTTTTCCCACGATACGCTGCTAATCTGGGTGAGTAAGACGGGAGCTGGCCCTGCAGGAGAATGGCACAGCGGTGTTCCCACTCAAACCCGGCGTCAAAACCACTCTAGTCCGACCAGACGTCCTCCTAACAAGCCTGCTGCACCCATCCCAACCTGTAAGTACAAAAAACTTCACAGATTTCTAAAACTCTGTTCTCCCAAGGTAGCGTCCGTCCAAGCGTATGTCAAGCTCCAGAGCTATGTTGCCTGGAGGCAAAACCAACCAAGGATTATCATTGTTATGACCGTGGGTTGAGTTATTTTTTGTGGAGGCGCTTAAAATCTTGTAGAATGTAATGTTTTTTTTACCCTGTAACTTATGTCATGGATGATATTGTCTTGAAGATCTTAGACTTTATTTGTTCGTCTGTCTGCGTCTGTTCCTTATGCCACACGCTGTTCTTGTTCCGTTGATATGAAAGTTGACATTTCTAAGAAAGATGAAAAATATTAAAACATCTGTAGCTCCCTTCCTCTTCAATCAAGCCTGCAGTCTCCAGTGACTTGAAGTAAATAATCACAGTAGAAAGGTGGTCGCTATAGACGGGTTAATGCTTGGGTTAATACGAAAACTAATGCAAGGACACAAAAAAATTGCTCCTTTTGCAGAGGTGGTCAAAGGAATATTTTCTTTTAAGTTGTAACGTTACCAGTTCCAAGGCTTTCTCAGTTCTAGAGAGAAACGACATTTTATGTTGATATGCGTGAGTTGCATCAGTTGACCCACACACACGGACAGTTGTAATGAAATTTTTATGACCCAACCACGCGAAAATAATGAACTCCAAACACAGACGATAGCCCTTGTCCCCAGTCCTCTTCTTGTTGTAAATACCCGCTAAATCGACCCTTTTATTGTTAGCGTGTTTCTACTAAACGTTTTAGAGCTCGCTGGTGGTAGGCAGACTAGTTGTTCTTGTGGACGTGTAGAATTCTGCGGAGTGTAGAGAAAGTAGTTTCAGTGCTCAGTGAAGCGATTCGCGTGGGGAGGGGGGTGGAACATTTTAATGATTCATGACATAGGTATTTTCAACTACAAAGCTTGTAACGTAAGCAAAATTGTATTGTTCTAATCAAGGAGGTTAAAAAAGAGACCTCCTTGGTTCTAATCTGTGTATTTCAGATTTAATTTTCTTTACACAACTTCTCCTTTTAACGTATTTTTCCATGCCACAACACTTTTCACTAGTCGTAGTTTTAATAGCATATCGTATGATCTACATGTAATAGTTCCACAACGACAAATCGTCATTAAGTACTAGTATACAAGTAAGGGTATAAGAATGCGACAAATATCACATGTTACTGGCAATGCAGGCAATGATATAATGACTCGACGAAAGCACAGCTATATAAGAAAAGAGTGTTATGAAGGCCAAACCCCGAATTCCAACCCAAAGTCGTCCTTGAGCTTGCAATTGGTTTGTACCAGCGCGTCCGGAAACGTCAAATAAAACAAATGTACAAATTAAACTTTGAGTTTGACATCAGTGAGAAATAGCACAGTGTACGCTAGATGTTAGATCTATCGGCATATACCTTCGTCCTTCCGCGGTCTTGATGCACTAGGACAGGAAATAAGGCAAATGTGAAAATGAAGAAAGAAGAGTATTGTTGACAAGGCAGGTCCGAAGGTAAGGACATTTTGCTGAAGTAATGTGCAAACTGCCCTGTATACTTACCATACTCTCCAAGCAGACGTTGTGGGGGAATGATCGTTAGCTTTTTATATATGGCCTTTTTTTTGTCGGTACCACCACGTCGGTGGCCGGCGACCTTCTCTGGCTAATGGATACTGCCTGACCAATTTGATACTGTCTTTTTGCCACCGAAAGGGATCAGCTTGAAGATTATACTAGTAGTTACCCTACATTTTTCTACCGTGTGTGGAAGTAACAATGGGCTGTTCGGAGCTCCTGTTGACTCCCGCTCCCCACGTGCTCATCACTCTCGTAGTGTGTTCTCACATGACCGTGGGGCATTTGGTGCTCCCTGGGGCTCAACATAGATATTCGTTATCCTACATATCAGGCCTCTAGGCTGACGTTTTGGCTTATCATATGTGCTGACTTAGTATGATTTTCGTAGCCTCGGGAGGCGGCAAACTGTTCTCTCTTCGTAATCGTATGGTTGAGGTAGGCATGCAGTGCAAATCGCACGGAAGAGTACTAGTACTATCTCTTTTTCTACCTCCATGGTACTAGGGAACATTTTCCGATATCCCTCAGATCCTTCGAACTTGTCTAAAAATGGGACACCGCTCATTGCTGTCGCACTAAGTCGTGTTAGGTCGTAGGAGGGTTCTTGTGTGTTCGTACTCTATCTAGTGCCACCGAACAGACTGTAGGACTGAAATTGAAGAGCGTTAACAAGAGATGCTCGTCAGGTGAATCTGCTACTGTCCACAAACACAGCCCTCCCTACCCTGACTGGTACACACTAGTACACACTGTTATGTTTACAGCCGTGCCAGTGATGCGTACCGGGGCTTAACAACACAAAGTATCTCTGGTATTACCAGATACTGATCCTCTAAGCATCACTTTCTAAACAAACACGGGCAACACAACCTTTGCATACATACTAAATCGTGTTCTGTTGTCATGAGGCGTCCATGGGGAAAGATTCTCGAAACAAACCACAAACAAGTTGTCACGGAAGTATTTCAAACCTACTGGAAGTATTAAGAGGGTTTTTTTTAATTTATTGTCACAACTCAAAGGATGCTCTCATACACTTTCCATTGGCCT